CAATGAATTGAACATTCATAAACGAGAAATCTACTATTACTTTTTTTTTGATTGCAGAATCAGTAATTGGTGCAGTACATTACAATTTATTGGAATTCAATATGCCTATCATGTAATTGCAATGTGGAGATTACAATTTCCGCAGACCAGGTCTTAGGCCCGGTTGCACCGAGCCCTGTTAGCTATTTTTTACCCCAGGATAAATTTATCCATGTGTAATCCTTATGGACTAACAGACCGTTATCGGGCGGTTTAGTTAACAGACGATGGTGCAACCGGGCCTTAATGCCAAACATTTAATGTATCAAGAAATGGAGAGACTCCATTGTGTGATAATAAGTAATTTAGTCGAGAAAATGCTGTCGGTGATAAAATATACCAAGTGATAAGTTAAGAAGTCGAACATAGAATCTATATTGGAGCGATTATCTGCGAAATGAGTAATTTCATCGCAAAATCTCATTACTTCTCTTTTTAGTTGTAAACTATAATAATAATAAATCATGAATCACGAATCGTATAATTTCTCTTATACGATTCCAGTTGATTTAGCTCCTACCCGAATGTAAGAGCAATATTTCAGAATAGAAGATTGGCCCATTTTTTGTTAATACTTTTTTTGTGGGCCTATTGTACTCTACACAAGTCTTTAAGGGGAAACGGAACCGCTGTGTCTATATGATCTTTTAGAATTGGATTTTCTCCTACAATTATTATTTTTTATTTATGAAACTACTTCATGTACTCAACAATGCAATGATCCAGTCGATAAAGTAATTTCATAGATATAAAGTAATAATTGTAGCAGAAATCACAATTCTAAAAATTCATATAGACACAGGGGTTCCGTTTCCCCTTAAGAGAATTTTGCCATCCCTTACACTGAGAGAAAAACGGCAGAGTTCTCAAACAAGTCTTGCTTCTGCCAAGAAAGTAGTTTTTTGAAAACTATTAAAAGAGGATTTTTTGTGCTAAACATGCAGAGAGTGCGCCGAGATGAAAAATTTTTGTCGCAAAAATAGATTTAGTAGTTCAAAAAAAAATTGCATTCTCTGTATACGCAAGAAATGTCATTTCCAGCACTACTCCTTCGTTATTCGATACTCCCATACATATTTTTCTCCTGAAAAATGTTTGTTTTATGCGAAACAGGGGATAGTAGTTTTCCATTTCGGCTATCTAATAATCACAGACAAGAAATGAACCCTTAAATGAAACAATAATAATGATATGATAGCAATCTTCCAACTTGGGGACAAAATATTTCTTGATAAATTTTCCTCTATATGAGATATTTTCATCCTGAAAAGGCACCGTCTCGTATGAATTATCCGCCACTTGAGCCAAATATTTCGTTGTTGTTGAAATCAGAACAATTATTCATGTTTGTGACTTTCAAATTTGAACTAAACAAATTTCTTCTTGGCAATTATCAGCTAGCAATTTTGTTGGCCCAAACAAGGCTTGTTTGAGAACGTATTTGTCTTTCACTCAGTGTAGACACGAAAGAATTTAATGGAAAAACCTATCGAATTCATTAGAAAATTCTATTGAATTTCTATTGAACTGTTCAATAGAAAATATTCAGTAAAAAAAGTCAATAGAATTCAATTTTTCTATACAACTTATTCTATTGAAATATTTTCTATAGAATTCCCTCGGCTCAAATTTTCTAAGTTTTTTCATTTGATTTTCTTGATGAGGAGAAAAGAAAAATGGAATGAAAAAAAATTGGAAATTGGAAAATTGGTCGTAAGGGTATATAGCTTTTGATTGATCTACATAGGGGGCTTCGAAATGAACATTTTGAAAAAAAAAAGTTAAATCGGCCCACTCGTTTTCGAGATATTTGCGAAACACGGCTGAAAAAGAAATCGCTTTTTCTCGAAAACTAGTCAACCGATCGAGCTGTTCTTGATCACAGGGTTAGTCCTTAATACGACCTATTATCTGTGAAAATTTCAATTTTTTTTGAATTTTTTTAGTCAATTTATTGTTCGATTTTCTAAAAGTTGATTCTGCAAAAGTGCCAAATTGGGGGTGACACATACAGACATGGTCCTCAAACTTCGTATTTTTCCATTTCAGACCATTCTACATCATTTCCAATGAAAATTAAGAAATGCGAAAATTGACCGATTACAATGCTTTTATTCGAAAGCAAAA